TATGAAAATTTTCAAATGGTTGTATCTCTAAATCAGAAATTTATTAGACTTTGGTTACGTGTTATTTTGGATGATCTTGTTATTATAGATTTTAATGGTCAAACAAATTTAGTTTTGATGGTCCTATCTCACCCCTCTCTGTGGTTCAGTCTTGATAGCCTCACTATGTAGGAGTTTTTTTTTTTTTTTTGATGGTTTGTTCAGAATTATTAAATAATAAATGTGATATCGCAACACTATTTTTATATTTTCAATATGTATTTTTGTATTTTCAATATAGAAAACACCTAAATATATACGCTGAAAAAATGATTAAAACACTAAAGTTACTTTATTTGAATGGTGTTGGTGCATATTATATATTTTGTAATTCTAATGTATTATATGTACAGATTAATAATTTGTTATTTGATAAGTTTCTCGTATATAATTTTAATAGTCTTACAGGATGATTTTGTAGTATATATATATTGATGATCTTTCAGTTTTTTTTTGGGGGGGGGGGGGGGCTTGAATAAAGAGAGAGAAGAAAGAACAAATTTTTTGTGTCCAACAAAACAATACTTGTCCAACCAAAAAGAAAAAGAAAAAAAAATCACACTTATTTTTGAAATTTTCCACACACATCTCAGAACCTTATATGAATTTCTTTTAACAACATAGAGAATATTAAAAAAAAAAGTTCCTACTTTTGTGCACTTAACGTGCATGGTATGACAGGCAGAATTTTATTCCAAACTAGAAGCACGCCCCGAGCTTCTCCGACCGGCCAGGGGGATCAAGCCCCCCCGAGTCCCTTAGTGGTTCTACCACTGGAGACTCTCAACAAGAGTTTCTCGAATTATAACAAGAGATTTTCGAAACGACTATAATCTGACGTGACACGAGATTCTCGAATTATAAGCATATTTCAGATTTGATACGTACAAAACACACGATTTTTTTTTAAGGTTGCAGAACCCATGTAGATATAGTAAGAACCACGATCTCCATAAGATCCAACTAATGCTAATATGCCTTAATGCACATGTTTTTTTTTCATAAATAATAAAATAATGTAATTTTTGGTAAGATGACCGTGAGAATTGATAATATGAAACCAAGTGCACCTGACATAAGATTCACCGATTACGAAAATAGTTCATGCTTTTAACGTGCTGAACCCACCACGATTCAGATATCATACAAGTCATGATCTCCATCACGTCCAACTAATATTAAGTTCTCTTATCAAAAACTATCTTTGTTTATAAATATTAAAATCATTGTAGTTTTTGGTAAGCTAGTCATCAAAGTAACATGAATCTAAATGTAATGATATGTAAAATAAATTTCACCGATTAGAATTACAACTCGAATTTTTAAAAATTTAAATCACCACAATTTAAATATCATGAATCACGATTTCCGCCACGTCTAGCTAACACTAGGGTTGGTGGTGCCAGTGAGACAATCGCCCTAGCTCAAAATTTGCCTTAGCCATTTTCTTAGGGGAAAAAAAAGAGAAAAATAAAAACCACCCAATAAACCCCCACTCTAAATATAGGAAATTTCCGTTTTATAAAATCCTAAAGAGAATTGAATTTGAGTTTCCTAGCAAGAAGCACAACATTATACTAGTATATTCTTATTCAATGTCCTAGCCATTATACCCTTTATATACCACTAAATTGCAAGATAAGCCACTGGATTTTAAAATATTTAATGACTTACCCCAATAATAATTATATACTCTTCCGTCCTAATTCTATAAGTTTATACTAATTTTCACACAAATTAATATAACTAATTTAACTAATAATTTTTACTTTAATCTTCTTAAAATATCCTTATGAAGACATATAAATTGTTAAACCAAAACTTTAATTTTTTTTTTCTTGAAATTTGTTAAACCAACTCCTGGAATGTAACAGGAGAACTAATTACTCATTTACTCCTATTCCTCTTATCAGAGCAGCTAACCTCTGTATTCTTATCCCAATACTGATTTTTTTCGTTATTTAGGAAATGGGAGAGAAACAAAAAATCAAGGTAAAATTTGTTATTCTTTTTGCGAAAAGAATTAGGAGGGAATATGAATTTTAGATTAGTAAAAACGTAATTCACTTTGAGGTTCAATTTTAAGCAAAAATTTAAATTTGGTTTTCTCGTAAAAGTGCCACCCAATTTGTGACTATTCTCTTATTGACCCAAGGTCAAAATATCCCATCTTAAATCATTAGAAAAAGTAAACCTTGTTTTATCCCATTAGTCCCTAGATTTTTCATAAGTTTAAGTGGTTGGTAATTAGTTGAATTAAAGATACATTAGTATTTTATTAGACATATACATCCTAAATAGGGAAAGCAGATAATTTAGTGGGACACCCTTAAATAGAAAGGTAACGTATAATATTTTGCCTCACCTACTTGAGGGGGCTAAACTTTTCCCCTGACTACTCTAGTTTAACTTAACGAGCAAATTCTAATGAATATAAAATCAACACATTAGATTTACATATGAAAATTTTCAAATGATTGCATCTCTAAATCCAAAATTCATTAGACTTTGGTTACGTGTTATTTTGGATGATCTTGTTATTATAGATTTTAATGGTCAAACAAATTTTGTTTCGTTGGTCCTATCTTACCCCTCTCTCTGGTTCAATCTTGATAGCCTCACTATATGGGAGTTGTTTTTTTTTTGATGGTTTGTTCAGAATTATTAAATAATAAATGTGATAACCCAATATATAATTTTTCTAACATATATTTTTATATTTTCAATTTGTATTTTTTATTTTCAATACAAAAGAACACCTAAACGTTTACACTGAAAAAATGATTAAAACACTGAAGTTACTTTATTTGAATGGTGTTGGAGCATATTATATATTTTATAATTCTAATGTATTATTTGGATAATTTAATAATTTGTTATTTGATAGGTTTCTAGTATATAATTTTAATGGTCTTACTGGATGATTTTGCAGAGTATATATATATATATATATATATATATATATATATTTTGATGATCTTTGAGTATTTTTTTTTTTTGGGGCTTGAATAAAGAGAGAGAAGAAAGAACAAATTTTTTATGTCCAACAAAACAATACCTTTTGTCCAACCAAAAAAGAAAATCACTGATTTTTGAAATTTTCCACTCGTAAGGATATGAATTCTTTTTTTAGAACATAGAGAATATTTAAAACAAAAAAAAAAAAGTGTTCCTACTTTGTGCACTTAACGTGCATAGTATAATAGCTAGAAGTTTATTTCAAACATAGTATATACAATCTCCAACTTTGTCATTCAAAGATTTTTTAGAGTTAGTCACTCTAAAAAATTAACATTGATTTTTGAAATTTTCCGCCTCAGAGCCTAATATGAAATTTTTTTTCAGAACATAGAGAATATCAAAAAAAAAAAAATGTTCCTACTTTGTGCACTTAATGTGCATGGTATAATAGCTAGAATTTTATTCCAAAAATACTATGTACAATCTCCAACTTTGTCATTCAAGGAATTTTTTATAGTTAGCCACTCTTATTTCAAATATGGCTAATGATTATGGTAGATCAACTTTTTTAGCATCCAGAGTTACCAAAATTGCCCTTATATGAGTTCAATTGTCTATCCTCTTATATCCTCGATCTTTTATCATTTACTTGCTGCCTTCCTCCTCCTCCTCCGATTTTCTTTTCTGATTCGATATCCAAAACTCAATCTCCCCTCCAAACGAAGAAGTGAACAAGGAAATAAAAGGCCATTTTGTGATCGATTTTGTCCTGATTTAAAATTGTTTTTGGCCATTGATGCTAACTTTTTGTTACTTATAGTTTTCAACAGCAATAGACATTATTTTTCAGATTATTTTTTATTTAATTGTTCACAATGATGGTTTAAATTATGAATTTTAACATCTTTCTATTATGATGGTAATAATGGTGAATCAGTTAGGCAACTGCTATGAATGATGAATGCAATTGGAACTAAAATAAACCTCTGATTTCACTTGTTTCTAATTCCCTTTTCCCCTAAAAGCGTGCAGAGAGGGGGAAAAAACGATGGTTTTTTAAGCTCAAAAAAGTTTCAAGAATTTGGACAATGCAAGTGACAATAAAGCCTTGCATGATACCATTTCAAGCTTTTGCAACATCCTTTCATGCATGATAGCGCTACGGACTCTAATGGCCAGTCCATGGGCTATGGTTTTGTACAATTTGAAAACGAATAATCTGCGCAAAATGCTATGGACAAGTTAAACGGAATGCTGTTTACTGATAAGCTAGTATATATCAGTGAATCACTACTCCTAAGAAAGGGACAAAGAATGGTACGAGGGTAAAGCTCACAAAGAAGTAAGAAAGGGAGCAAGAACTTAAGACTGGGCAGAAAATCCATCAAAATTCTAATCCATTAAAGAAGGTAATTACATATATATATATATATATATATATATTCAAATATTCGGATATCTTCAACTATTTTTGAACAACACTTAAAACTCGCCAGTCATAACAAGCGTGTATAGACACCCGATTATAATATTTGATGATGATGATTATTTTTTTTTTGAAACTATGATGATGATATTATACTACCTAAGGTTAGCAAAAAGAAAGATAAAACTGATGCCAATTGAATTTGGGCGACATGTGTGGCTATTAAGAAATACATTTACAAATTTCTCAAAAGCATTGATTTTTTAAAGGAAGACCAAAACAAAAAAAAAAAAAATGCTGATTAATCAATCGATCAATCAATCAATCATTCTTCTGATTGCTTATTAAAAAGCCAAAGTACAAGGAAGAAGCAGAAAGGTACAACAAAAAAAGCAGCCACTTTAAGAAAATCTTCAGTCTCTCTTGATATTACTTCAATTCTTGACCAATCTCCACTATACCTGAATCACATCATGCATCATTTTTCTTTTTCTTTTTTTTTGTTCTTAATTGATGTTTGATTAACTTTGAGTTTCAGAAATGAGAAAAAAAAAAAAAAAAAAAAAAGACTAACCCGGCATCCACGAAGCCTAATGCGAAGACTCCAATTGCAGTTTGCGCGATAAGTGTGCGTGGTAGTTTGAGTTGTTGAGCTGTTGCATTTTCAGAGAAACTGTTGTTCTTCTTTGCAAATCCGACTATGGAGCAAGTTCTTGTGCTTCTTTTCTCAAGTAAGAAGAGACGAGAAATGCCATTTCCACCACAAATTAGAGCATTATCTAGTACCACCATTTTGTTCTAAAAAGAAAAAAAAAAAAAGTCACTAGTAGCTAGCAATTTCCTTATCTATATTCTCGTGGTCTAGTAGAATGGAAATGAATGGCTACCATTGAATCTCGAGCTCCAAATTCAAGCTAGCAAAACCAACAGTATTGTGTTGTTATGGTAATGATGAATATTGAAAACAACAAATGAAAACACTTTGAATCATTTTCACAAGATTGAACCATCATGTAAGTAATCTTTGAATTCATCATTTTACCTTCTTTTTTTTTTCTCAAAAAAGACATCTTTCTCACGTACTAATTTAACTCTACTACTACAAAACTTACAATGTAATACAACAATTACTTATAAGAGGGGAAAATCTTCTAGTGAGTGGCACTTAAAACTTTTGAACTTTCTCCAAAATCTGGTGGCAAAATTGAATGGTTACCTAAATATTTAATTTTGTCATTCAAACTGTGAGTATCAAAGTATGGCATCGACACGATCAGTGAATGGTTATCCAAATATTTTCATTGTACGGCCATGCATGTCGTGATGATTTATATATGTCTACACACGACGATGAACGAAAAAGTACTGTGGACTGGTACTTTATCCATTCCTATATATAAAGCATGACTGGAAGATTCTACAATTTTCGTTCGTTGTCGTCGTAATATATCACGACCTTCTTCATCTTTTTTTTTTTCCTTTTGTTTTTTGCCTTTTTTAATTAAATAATAGATTGAATATATAGCCGTCGACAAAAGGCAATATGATAACTCAACGGCATGGATAACTTCCTTGGAAATGTTTAGGCCCACGTGAATCACGAAATACAACGGTGAGAGTTGAGTAAAGTAGGGCCATTCTCCCCCTAAACAAATTATAATCCCACTTTTTTATTTCAAACTCATCTTCACTAAATTTACCAAAATGAGTAAGTAAAGTAGGTCACTTTTTCTCCCCGCATTACTGCATTCCTTTTATCACAATTCTAAAAACAAATTTAGCCCCACAATTTGCAGTAAAAACAAGTAAGAAACAAAATGACGCAGAGCCACTACGGAAGAAAGTTAAGTTGGGGCGTAAGTGACACATGTTTTAATGTCACTTACAACCAGTGAACATGCTCTTGGATACATTTACATAACATATTTAAAAGGTTTATTTCTCCAGTTTATTTGTATTGACTTAGTAATATTTCAGGCGAAAATTTACTTGAACTAAATTTTTAGTTGAATTATGGTGAAAACAATGTGCAATAGTAAATCAAATAAACACTAAAAGAAATTAAAAAAAATATAAAGTTTCACAGTGCTCAAAATGCCAAATGAGTAAGATTTCTAAACATTCAATAATACTTTATTAGAATTCTTAAAATATTCCAATTGGATTTGAAGATGTTACACCTTAGTAGAATTAGAAATAAAGTATAATCAAGATGAAAATGTTACACCTTAGTAGCTTATATTATTTCAATGTAAATGTAACTGAACAATTTGAAAATTTACAAAAGTTAGATTATTTTTTTTTTTGGTGAAAATCTAAACTTGTGTTGATAATCGCATTAAAGCACAAATTTACAACCAAAACCACTATGTTTAAAATATTTTGAAGTGTTTGCAAAGATAATCGATTTTTCTCTCTTTTTTTGTGTGTGATTTTATCATTTTACTTTTCTAAAAGATTTTTATTTTGAACAGTATAGGAAAAGATTATAAGGAAAATTTATAGAAATGTCATTCTCCAATTTGGATTTTACTTTTGTTAAAATTATACTCAAAAGTAAAATTTTAAATTAGACAATTATTTTTGGATAGAGAAAGTATCGCACTAACCTCAAATAGGTTCTTTTTAGGAACACCTTAAATAGATAAATATCCAAATAAAAAGTATAAAAATTAATTGATATCATTTAGATCTAAACTACACCATTCTTTCTTTATTTATTGCATAACATTTATAAATTTCTCAAATTGTTACGCGCGGACAAAAAATATCTAGTATATAAGTATAGATATAGATATAGATATTATGAATAACTTTAAAATTCTAAGCAAACTCTAGTCATACTCCTACATCACACCTTTCCCTTTTAATTAAATTTAAAGGGGATGTCAACTCAATAAGGGATCTGAGACAAACCAATTACAACAATGATACTACCAATGTAGTAAACCATAACGATGTGAATGATATAGATTAGTTGAGAAAATCAAAAAACAATTGAAACAGGTGTGAATAATATTCTCTTTAACTGAATCATACACACAGGATACTAAGAGAGGGTAATGTAGAATACAATAAAGGACAAATACAAAACATCATAACACTCCCCCGCAAGCTCAGGGCGAGGAGTGACCTATATCTTTGAACACATAAAGCTAAACCTCTGCGAGTTAGCTCCATCTGCCAACTGATCACGAGTAGAAATGAAGTGAACTAGATGATCAAGAGGAGCAACCTTTTCACTGACAAAATGAAACCCAATTTTGATATGCTTTATACTAGCATGAAAAATAGGATTCTCGGAGAGATAAGCAGTACCTAAATTATCACACAGAGGATAGGAGCAGCACGAAGTGTAAAAGGATATAGCAGTGGTACCCGATATTTTTTTTTCCTCATTCACACCTTACTAGCATCACCCTATTATGGGGTTGTAACTTGCACGTAATAAATCAAAATTCAGTGTGAGAAGAATATTATGTAAATTAGAGATCACTTGAAATTATCAATGTCAAATTGTCCAGATCTACCGGTTGAAGATTATCAATCCATTTCTTTTTTACCTAGAAATTTTGTGTTATAGCATTATATGGTAGGGGTAAACTATTGAAAAAAAAAAAGAATAGAAAATATTGATATGTATTGAAATATTAATCGAGTACAGCATATGATATCCATATAATCGACTACATGGGATTGTGTTATAGTATAGAGCTCAATCTCATGTGTATTGTTTATGAATGGGAATATATATGTTTTTACAGATATACATATGTCTTTGGGGATTGATTCTATGGTGTCTTCATATTTTGATAGTTCGCATTTCAGGTAAGTTGACCAAATCGAAAACGATTCAAAGTTTATTTAGAACTCGAATATTATTTTACAAAGTTGAAACCACTACTAGAAAGATAGTCTTTTAAGGACCAAAAGTGATCTTAGGGGCAGAACATAGATTAAAAAAAACATTTAAAAGTTACATATCATCCTTTATATGCGTCCTATTGTTATAATTCAACAAATATGACTCATTTCTTTTGTGTTGGGCCAATATTTCTCCTCAATTGAGCCCAGCATGATTTGGCCGAATAAAAGAAAAACCAATTGGATTTGGTTTTTCTTTTATTGGTAGTAGGAAAGGAGTTTTTCTTGAGAATCGTTTCCACTGATTTGTTGTGTTTATACCCTATCCGCCACAACAGTGGCATCAGAGTTACGCTTCGGTAGTTGAGGTATTACACCAATAAAATGGAGGATTCATCGGGTACTGGTACGATGATTAAATTGACTTCATCCAATTATCATATGTGGAAACCTAGAATGAAAGACTTGTTATATTGCAAAGATTTGTTTAATCCTGTTCTAGGGGATGAAAGTAGGCCGAGTGATATGACTGATAAAAAGTGGGCTGATAAGCACAGGAAGACTGTTGGTAATATTCGACAGTGGATTGATCAAAGTGTGTTTCATCACTTTTCAGGAGAAACAAAAGCTGATGAACTTTGGGAGAAAATCCAGAATATGTACTGGAAGAAGTCTGTCATCAATAAGTCATCTGCGCTGAAACAGATCACCAGGTTGAGGTACAAAGATGGTGCTAGCATGAATGAGAACTTGAGTTCGTTTCAGGATTTGTTGAACCAAGCAGTAAATGTAGGTTTAAAGTTAGATGATGAGGTGCAGGCTTTGTAATTATTTAGTTCTCTTCCAGACAGTTGGGACACTTTGGTAGTGTCAATCAGTAATTCAACCCAAGATAGTGTCTTGACCTTGGATCAGGTCAAAGAGGCTTTTGATGAATGAAGAAGTCAGAAGGAAAGAGCAGAGTATTGAGTTTGAGTCGCAGGCTCTAGTGACAGAAAAGTCAGATAGAAGAGGGAGAAGTAAAAGCAGAAGGCCACGTGATCAGAATGACAAGTCCAGAGGACGGTCTAAATCCAAGAAAGATGTCGTGTGCTACCATTGTCAAGGGAATATGCACTTTAAGAGGGAGTGCAGGGTTCTCAAGAGAGAACTGGCGGCGAGAAAAGGTAAAGGCAAGAAGGACGAATCAAGTGATGATGACACTACTGCAGTAGTAACTACTAGTGATGTATTTGTGTACTGTGATGATGATACAATTAATGTTGCGAGTCACGACAGTGATTGGTTCGGTAATTCATGTGCGTCTTATCATGTGACGCCTCGCAGACACTTCTTTACCTCTTACACCTGGAGATTTTAGTCGTGTAAGAATGGGCAATCAAGCCTCATGCGATATTGTCGGCATGGGAGAGGTATCATTGGTAACAAATACAGGTTGTACTCTTGTCTTAAAGAATGTCAGACATGTTCCGGATATGTGTCTGAACCTTATTTCTGTTGGAAAACTTGATGATTAGAGTTATCATAGCACTGAAGGTGGTGGCCATTGGACAATTACCAGAGGGAATCTTGTTATTGCTAGAGGAAAGAAGTTGAACTCTTTGTATTTGTGAATGCAAAGTTGAAGAATGGAGAGGTGAATGCAACTCACAATGCCTCCATTGATCTCTGGCACAGAAGGCTTGGACACATTAGTATCAAGGGGCTCCAGATTCTTGGTAAGAAGCAATTTC